ACTCAACACTAATGGCTTATGAAAGACACATAGTACTCAATGTAGTCATCAGGTTTAGCACCTTGAGTACTGAACTTCATGCCTCTTCCAATGTGTGGCCATTTTGTCCATTCTGTATGGAGATCAATGAGTCTGTTGTAAGAATTGTTGAAATATTCCTAGTTACGAAGATGTAGGCAAATGGTGATATTGAGTCTGTGTATGAACAGAGAGTGTCCTGTCACCGAGTGTAAGACTAAACATGTCGGAACTGTCGTAGGGCGTCTGTGTCTGGATGCTGTGATGACATTCTGTGGCCTACTGTCTTTGGAGAAATGTCACAGGCAACCAACTTGTTGATTAAGCAACTATCATGGTTCAATGTAATAAATGATATTTTCATAACAACTTGTCATGTTGTGTTTTCCCAGATTGTAACGATTGATGTGCGAGCTATGTTAGGTCAAATGTGTGGAATTACAGAAATTGTTCATTGGGATTAGACCATCATTGGAACTTCATGTGTGTGGCTACACTCTGCATTCAATCATCACCCATTATACACTGGGTCGATATGCAGTGATGTGTGTAAATCTTCAGTGAATCTTTTTGTTTTGTTTTGTTTGTTGTTTAAAGCCGCACTCAGCAATATTCCAGCTATATGGCGGCAGTCTGTAACTAATCCGGTCTGGCCCAGACAGTCCATTGATTGACATCATAAGCATTGATCCATGCAACTGGGATACGATGACATGCATCAACCAAGTCAGCGTGCCTGACCACCCGATCCCATTAGTTGCCTCTTATGACAAGCATAGTCGCTCTTTTTACAGCAAGGATGGGTTGCTGAAGACCTATTCTACACCAGATCTTCACGGGTCCTTTAGTGAATCAAACAACCGTTATTTCCTGGTACTGAGAAGGCCACATGCCTATAGTAAGTAAACTTTTTACATAAAATAACAAAGAAGAAAAAGTGATATTCATCTTCGATATTAAAACTGCATAGCTAACAAACTCTGTCTTCTCTTTCAATACCTGATTTAATAAGCAGATCATGTGAACGGCATCTAAATGAGGCTGACACCACTTGGAATTTCTTCACATTTATATTATACAAACAGTGCTCTATTTAAATTTGTTTTAATACCTGAATAGTGATTTAATTTATTTGACAAAGGTTGAGATAACCACTATAGAAGTACATGTCTTTTAAGTAAAAAAATTAAGTGTAAAATCAATTACAAATTGCTTTGGTATACCGTATTCGACATAATAAGCGCCCAGGGTGCTCTCAAAGTTAGAAATAGGGGGCTCTTATAAGAATATTATTTTGGTGAAAAACAACAGAGTTGAAAGATCGTAAATTTCGTGGTGTATGCTGGGATTGTTCACTAGCCAATATATTAGAAAATATCGCTGTGGGCACTTATTCAAATGGGGCGCTTATTACGTCGAATACGGTACATGTACCTACATTTTGTTAAAACCAAACATCAGTGAACATTATCATACCCTGATGAATTAACTGTTTAAAATATGATGCCTAGTTATTTTTACCCTGACAATCGAAGAGTAACAACATTTTTTCACATTTCTTTGGATAGCTCGAATTTTACATCTTCAGTAATTGTAACCTTTATTTAGCTAATGAATGATGCTATGTATAACTCGCAGAAGTCAAATGAGTCCAGCTTTGTGCAGGAACGAGACAAATCTATATTTACCGGTACATTTTCTGTCAGTTTTATTCAGTTCCAGTTTGTAGCAAACTTGAAGCATTGGGAAGTGGTTCAGAACTATAGCCCACACTGGTAGTCAATAAGGACTACTATCACTGGATTTTCACTTGTCCTCAGCACAATTTTGTAGTCTTGGGCAGCATCCTAGCATGAATTTCAAAGGCTGATGATGGAGTGAGTGAGTGAGTATGGATTTACGCTGCTTTGAGCAATGTTCCAGCCATATCACGGCAGGGTACACCAGAAATGGGCTTCACACATTGTACCCATGTGGGTAGTCTGTCTTACAGACCCCTGATACATTTATATCAACTACAGCCCATACAAGTCTATAATGTTTGGCAAGTCTAGATTACTGCAGTATCAGGGTCTGTACAAACCTGCTGAATTCACAAGCGAGCACAGAGCTTGTAATTATCAGTAAATCTCTAGCTGTCATTAGTGTTTAGTATTAGCATGTGGCGAGCCTCACACCCCCCCACTCCCCAAGACCCCACACTGAGACAAGAAAATGAAGAGAATCACTGGGCTCCCTTTTTATTAGATTTTTATTAAGATAACTGAACAACTTTTTTTTCTGTACGATATGTTCATTTCAGAGACTGTATGTTAGTCTACCATGTGGGGAGTCAAACCCGGGTCTTCAGGGTGACAAGTGAACACTAAACACTAGACTACCCCACCGTCCCTGCTGATGGAAGTCAGATGAGCCCAACTCTGTGTGTTAAGTTAAATAGTTTGTGCAAACCCTACCATTGTCTGACATTAAGCGCAGACAGCACAGAATATGGCACGTCAAGCGAGGAACTTCACTGGTTATGTGATGCAACCACTCATTTGCACAACACTAGCTGCCCTCTCGCAGGAACCAGGCCGTCACTTGATTCGTTGGTTGAAAATAGCGACAACACTGCATATCGGGCTAATGTATTCATGGGTGATGGAAGAACATGAGAGAGTGAGAGAGTTGGGTTTAACGCCGCTTTTAACAGTATTGCAGTTATATCGCGGCATGTCGGCTTAATGTGGGAGGAAAGCTCGGAAGTGACGCAGGTCTCAGACGTTTACCACTTCGGTGAAACCCACGGGCACGGGTATGGTGCTGACAAACCTAGAAACATAATTAGGGCAAACCAGGATTCGAACCCAGAATCATAGGTTTCTGGCGTGCGAATCGCGGCGCCTTAGACGACTGGGCCACCCGTGACCCCCATGGAGGAACGTAGTGTGTATAATCCCATGCAGTATTTACAACGTAATCTTTACAGGTATTGTTCATTGGCAATCTTAGAAGAATTCATGAAAGAAATCACTTTAGGATAATCTCTGGAAAGTTGGAAATTTGTTGCAATTACAAATGCCCTTCACATGGTGGGCCTATGACTCCTATGAGTGAGTGAATATTGTTCATGTCACATTCAGAATTATTCCAGCAACATCCTTGTCTAACAAATGTTATATTTGGGATAACACTTTCCTAGTGAAGTACAGAAATGTATGTTTTGTGTTAATGAGAATGGAATAATGTGAGTAAATTATGGACAATAGTTAATGTGCGTTTTTCAAGCTGCAAAATCCAGCAACATGATTCTACCAACGCATACATGAACAAAGTGCCAAAATACGACATGTGACATGCAGAACAAGAAAACAGAATTTAACAAAATGGGTATATGATGGTGGAAGCGTGATGGTGTGGGCTGGGATCAGTTATCACGACAGCACTGGCCCGTGAAGACGCCGTGGTAGAATAGGTCTTCAGCAACCCATGCTTGTCGTAAGAGGCGACTAACAGGATCAGGTGGTCAGGCTCGCTGACTTGGTTGATGCACGTCATCGATCCTAATTGTGTGGATCGATGCTCATGATATTAATCACTGGATTGTCTGGTCCAGACTCGATTATTTACAGACCGCCGTCATATAGCTGGAATATTGCTGAGTGCAGCCTTAAACAACCAACCAACCAACTAACCACGACAGAGCACTGCTCCATGTCTGTTGTGACCCGTGAAGATTCCGGGGTAGAACAGATCTTCCGCAACCCATGCTTGCCGTAAAATGTGACTATGCTTGTCGTAAAAGGCGACTAACGGGATCGGGTGGTCAGGCTCGCTGACTTGGTTGATGCATGTCATCGATCCCAATTGCGTGGATTGATGCTCATGATATTAATCACTGGATTGTCTGGTCCAGACTCGATTATTTACAGACTGCCATCATATAGCTGGAATATTGCTGAGTGTGCATTAAACAACAAACCAACTAACCATTGCCTGCTGTGGTCGGGTCAAGGTCGTGTACTACAGGGATAACATTCTGAGACATCACGTCGTCCCACTCTTTTGTCAACATCAAGATCTGCACACGTTCCAGCAGGATACCAAGCGGGCGCATACAGTACAAGTCTTGCCACAATTCCTGGCACAAAACAGCATTTCAGTTCTTCCGTAGCCTGCCCTTTCACCAATTGATCCTTTGAGGGATTACTTTGGGCAACGACTTTCATGTTTCCCACAGATCAGGGCCCACTCGCCCAAAGCAATTGTAACTCCCATACTCTTACATAGACTTAAGATAGTCCTAGCGCTAAGATCGCTTTGTCCAAGCCAGTCCTGATGAATACCATCAGGGAATTGGAACTCGCTCTGCAACATAAATGGATCAGGATAGCACGAGACGTTACGCACGGACTTACTGGGTCCATGTACGGCTGTGCTGCTTCAGAAGGTGGCCACAAGCATCGGCTTTGGGTTTTGACCCCTCATGTTGTTCACCGACCTTCACCTGAAGGTGGGTCATTGTATTTGGCTTTTCTATTAAACATTGCCTACATCCATTGTTCAACTACACTTTTCAAAGTAAATCACCCCACCATCACATCAAGTGTGTTCAGTTAAAAAATAAAAATAAATTGAGTTCCCCACACTTTCATCCTTGCCTCTTGGTTTGAGAAAATGTGATGGTGGAGATCACAACTACATGTATTTTATTTCCAAATCATCAATAGGCAATTATCTAAACCAAAATCAGAATGACAAGCTATCCCAACATGTGCCTCTCACTTGCCTGGCTGGTTAAATACACAGGCCACAACTATTTAATCAGTGTTCTTTGCATTTTTATCAGTTGGGATTATAAACATTATCATATATGAATAATTGCCTTTCATATCCTTTGCAAAAGAAATGAAATCTGAAAAATTAACAATAAATTTGTCATCCACCATTCTTAAAACCAACAAACCTGATTTGATGATAACAAATGACAGACAAAGCAGTTCTTTCACTATGACCTTTAATGATGCTGATTATGCACAAACGGTGACAGATGGACAATGATTACAATAATGTGAAACTGACGAGCACCTTTCATGTTTTGCAAACTGTAATATGCTAAGTGATTCACAAATGATGCTGATTTAATGAAATAAACAACAGACATGACTGTGTCAGCTGCCTTACTGGCCTGGAAGAATCTCTTGACAAAACCCAACCTCGGCATAAATCACATCCTCGATATTCCATGCTATTTCTACTACTTCAACAACACCCTAGAATGGATGGGAGGATGAAATTAGTGTTATTTTAGAGTAGAGTTTGACAATGCGATCACTTAGCAACCACATTTTTAAGCCACTGAACTTACTTTTTGAAAGATCAAATGGAAAATAGTGCCGCGTCAACCAATTCACAACCACACAATGTGGCTACTCAAAGATTCTGCTTGCAATATTTACTCATGCTGACAATCTTACCAGGGCAAAGAATCAAAATTCTAGATACTGAATTCCTCACTGAATTATGTTTGGTCAAATGAATCAAGATGCTACTGATGGAGATTCAAACAGCATGGAAAGTTCAGAATGCACTTAACAATAAACATATATTTACATCTACACACCCTGTTAGATGCAGACTCCTACAATGAACACAGCTGAGAGCTTATACCAAGGAAGCTTTAAACAAAAATAATTAATGTGTCAAAGGAAGATCTCCCATTCAACTTTGTTTAACAAATTCAATGCATGTTAGACCTTTTCATTAAAAGCAAGGTTAAGTGCTTGAATGAATAGGTTTATCGCCACTTTGAACAGTTTCAGTCATATCACGACGAAATATGTTTGTGAAAGGCGTAAAGGGATGCAGGTCGTAGAGGTTGTCCAATCTGTTGAAACCCACAAGCACTGGTATAGTGCCTACAGACCAAGGTTGATTATTCAGGATTTGAAGCAACTATCAGCAGATGCTGGCAAGGGGAAGGGATGCAGTGCATCAGACCTCCATTTGTCATCTACAAAATGTACCAGTATAAACAAGCAAACAAAAAAAGTGTGTGAATCCAATTCACTTGATTCCTGACAAAGATATTAGGCCAGACTTTTTTCAATCTTGGTTTATGAATCTGCTAACTCAATCAAATGTGAAACAAATATTAATACTGGAAAGCAGTCTGTGTCTTATTATCTGACCTGAAATAAGTAAATTGACTGTAAATTTACTGTTATCAATATTAATTATTAAATATCATCAAGAACCTGTTGAAAATTTATATTCAAAACACACTGAATTATGAGAGGAAATTCAACAACTTCTTTGAATTTGGAATTTGTTCCCCCCCCGATCATACCAACCTAAATTATTAGGCCAAAAATCAAGACTGTAAACCATAAAATATTAAAAGAAGGCGAAATATATTCACATGAAATTAGTACAAGTGGCTCTCCTGCAAAAACTTTAATAAACTTCGTAAAAATTGTGATGGTGGTTTCCTTTTAATTGACAAGTTTCATCATTTGTCCCGAGAGGAGCTGTTTCTTCCTGAGCCACAGCTTGCTGTACAGGTAAGATATTAAAGGCATTATCAATACTGACTACATAAATCTTTCAAAAATAACCAGAGGACACAATCTTAACAACAAATGCTATTTTGATTTAATCTCATCGTTGCATTACTCATTTGTTGTCATTGTATAAAAATAATCTATTCGATCTTTGCAAATCATAAAATATTGCACAAATGATTACAAACTACACCTCTTCATGTCAGTGTTTCATTTCATACAGCCAACTAAATGTCATCAATCTCCAATCTTCACAGTTGTAAATATTAGCTGTTGCAGTCATGTTCAAAATACCTTCATTGTATTAATTGTACTTGGGCCTCAGGCCTTAATACTGAAATAAAGGATTGATTGACTAAAGGTAGACCAATGTCCATTGAAGTGAAACACCAATGCTCAATTCTGAGTTCCACCATAGGTTATATATTCATACTTTGTGTGAACAGAAAAATTCCGATGTAACAAAAGGATTTCCACTTTTATCAAGCCAAGTTGACTGATAGCTCCAGGGAGAAAGTCTACAAGTTGAATACTCTTTCGGGGACACAACCTCAGACCCAATACCGTCATAACAATTGTCTCCATTTTCTGATCAGTCAAGTCCAACTAAGTATTGCTGATCAGACAAATTCAAAGGGAACATATTTCTTCCGTGTTTATCAGCAGGAACCAGTTCTAGTTCTTACAAAGATGCTTCTGACATGTGAGAGATATTATTTTCAAGTCATTTCAGATTGGTGGTACTAAACAAGACTAAGAACAACCAACATTGTTACATGGCATTATTGATGACCACAATACAATCATTTTCCGATAAAAGTTCACCGGCAACAGTTTTGTCAACACTTTCATCATGAATAGCTCATTGCAATGTTCGCTTCAACGTGTCTCCACAAACAGTTTCAAAACAAAAGTGCTCTCTTTGTTAAGAAGTAAGTGCAGAAACATTAAAATACCATTTGCCTTATTGACAAAATGGTTCCTTACATTATTCAGAGTCCCAGTTACATGTTCCTTACATCAGTCATCCAATTGATGTGACTGTCTATTATGGTAAGAAAGAGAAATACAACAATACCAAGAAAATTCCTGAATAATACAAGCATTAAAGGCACTATACAGTCTATAGACAAACGAAAGAATATATGAACAAGATAATGTACAAGTTGCTTCAACATTTAGATGGGAATGCTTTGTCAGTATGATACCATAGGGTGTCTTGCAGATGGAACTTCTCCTCGCGGCGACATCGTAGATGGTAATGATGTACCTGGGACGATGTCATCCTGGGATGAAATGATACAGCAGCAATACTGATTGTACCATGATAACTGAATCCCACACAATCCATCGGCTAATACAAGAGGGTATCACCCAACGCTACAAATCAGTTTTACTAGCACAGTTTGGATGGCTGTTATTGTTTGTGTGACGCTACAGCTCCTGTAGACAGATCTTGTCTTGGTAAATGAGTACCGCGATACCCTACTGTATCGTCATACCATTACACCATTACATAGTATCATCTATGCTTGACCAAAACAGTTACTGGATATCAACTTTCTCCTTGTATTTTGTAAATGCGTTTTTTGAGATGACAGTGATAGCAGTTTCTACACACGTAACACCTGCACAAAGCAAAGCTCGAATGCATTGATGCATGTTTCTTGTGCATGAGAGATCTTGACCCGATATGATAAATGCTAAGTTCCCACTGTGAAGTCCCGCTGTTAGCCCTGAGAACAACCGAGGCATGGTCCTCACTGCATGCCAGCAGGCTTCTTACCCCCGTGGAACTCTTCAATACACAAGTGACAGCTCCAATTACCTGCAACAGACACACATAAGTAAGTGAGGCTTAACACTGTCTTAAACAGTATTTAATAATAATAACACCGTATTCGACGTAATAAGCCCCCTGTGCGCTCTAAGAATTAGAAATAGGGGGCTCTTATTTGAATATTATTTGGGTGAAAAAAACAGAGTTGAAAGATAAATTTCGTGGTTTATGCTGACAGCCTGAAATGTTTATATACGACAGATATATTATTCCAGAATTTAATTGCCCATTATTAAGGATGCATATAACAAACAAGTGCGAATATGTAAGTCTTGTGTAGATTGATCAATCGGAAGGGGTGCTGATTGGGATTGTTCACTTGTCAAAATATTAGCAAATATCACCGTGGGCGCTTATTAGAGTGGGGCGCTTATTATGTTGAATACGGAAATAATAATAATAATCATCCATTTATATGGCACAGTACTCCATGCATAAGCATGCTCTAAGCACTTAGACATTAAATGGATCAGTGTGAAATCAATAATCATTCTCAGCTCCCTGGGGAGTATACAACCTAAGATGCCTGTTAGGCGCTTGAAGGTTAACAACCACATGGCCATCTCATCCTACCGGGTACCCATTCACTGCGAGGTGAACAGAGGCACATTTGCACAATAATAATAATATAGTGCTCACAGGCGCTTTTATATTATGACTACCAGTCACTGGATCAGTGTGCAGTCGACTTTCATTCTCTTCTCCCTAGGGATCATACACTGAAAACTTATCCTGCCTGCAAAGGCTATTTCTGGTGTCCCCCGCCGTGATATTGCTGGAATATTGCTAAAAGCGGCGTAAAACCATACTCACTCACTGTAGTGTATTCTGTATACGTACCCTCTGGAGGTTCAGTGAGAGGTGGTGTGAGACAGTACATGTGGTAGCCTCGGTCACAGTCGTCACAAAATAACAACTGATCCTGAAATGAATATAAACCAATCATGGGGCAAAGTCAACAGTTTTCAATCTTTAAAATTCTCACAGGATTAATTTTAAGAAATAGATATAAACTGTCCACACTATGTACACACATCCATATTTCAGACACCTTAATCATGTTAATGTCATGAAAGAAATGTATCTTTAAATTTCCTTTTGATATCTAAATTGAAACCAAATATTTAGTTTCATAGCTTCAAAGATAACTCCTCTGTAAACATGAGTTATCTCCCCTGCACTATTTGAGAAGGGGTGAAAACAGGCTTAAATGCTAACATTGTATTAATCATTTTTATACATTTCCTAAACAATGTAAACATTGATGTAAACCAGCGTTTTATACAACTCACAAATGTGCAGCCAGTATGCAAAAATAATTTGAGATTGGACACAGAAAAAGAATATACTGCATCCCAAGGGACACAGTAATATTCATTTTACTTACAGCTATTGGTGTCTTATTTCATCATCAATCATGACCACTGTCCACATTAATTCATTCCAGGTTTTAAAGTAAATATCCAAACCATTTCATTACTTCATAGGGCCCTCATATTGACTGATGGTGTTCTTTAATTTCTTTTGAGTTGTAAAGTATAAAGGTTGGAATCTCAAATCATCAAAATAACACAGAGCCTGTATCTGAGAACCAAGCAGCTACATCTCTTACATCGTTATCGGAGGTCCCACACAGTCCACATGACTTGCACTCAATACACTGCCAGGGGTACTTCTTCACTGATATGATCATGTTGGCTGTGAACTGGAGACATGTTGGGTGACCTACACACAAACATACAGCTGGTCACATAGGGTAGGCTACATTGTGTCCTGGAATAGTCCCCAAATAGAACCAAGGTTCATATTGGCATAACAAACCTAAAAAACTACATGAGACATACACTGTAAAATTAAATACCATGAACATTCAAATGTTGTTACTCATGGTCCAGTCTGATAATGCATATTATGCTTGGGTAAATCACTGTGTGTCAACCGGATGAAGGAGGAACGCCTGAAGTGATATATGGCACCTCAGACAATTAGGCCACCCGCCACTGCCAATGAAAGCAAAGTGACCAATGACAATATCCCATCTCAAAGGTCATTCACATTTCTCCTGGAGATAGGGACTGATAAACCATAGAAATTACCGGTTCAATTTTACTTGTACATACCTGCAATATAACCCATAGAAATTACTGGTTCAATTTTACTTGTACATACCTGCAATATACCCTAGACCAGAAATGCTGACAGGCCTAAGTTCACATCAATATATTACTTATTTGAAGAATCCTGCTGTCAGATACACAACTAATTATTTCAACTAAAACGATTGTGTAGAGGGTCATGAATTGGCTGTGGCCAAGTGCATAAGAGTCTGAGTAAGTTGACTTAAAGGTTATTTCACTCCAATAGCAATGTGTTTACATATGTCTGTGTGTATGTGGCTGCTTGTACTTGTCTGTACTAATGCTTCTTTTAAAGTTCTAGATACCATGCCGCAGTTAGCATGGATACTCCCCTTAGACACAGAATACAGACTCCAAGCTGACCAGTCCTTGTTCTATACCCTTAATGCTGAGCTCCAGGCAGGGTAACAACAAGTACCATATTTTGACATCTTTTAATATGACGTGGCCAGGGATCGAACCTACAACCTTCCACACAGACGCTCTATCAACTAGACCACGGAGGCGGCTGAATATAACGATGGAAATGTTCATGGCTAGAAAGTCTGTGTCACCTGAACGGCCACAATCGCTGCAAGACACCAGCTCCTCGGGTAGTTTGGTCTTCCTGTTGTCTGCAGCATCTCCCAAGCAGAAGTCACAATAGTTATTAGCAGTTGCCTTCCCATCAGCATTTTTACCTGTAACACATCACACAGCCCAAGTCAATCCAACATGGCAGCTACAGCATGACCAGCACAGAGGACAGCTTCAAGAACATGTTGACAGTCTGCACCCAACATCACAAAGACTTAAAGCTACGACTAGCTTAATTATTAGGACATGTGAACAGTCGTAGCAATAAGGTCACTTTATGAAATTGGGACCCAGGTACCATCTGCCTGATATCAAGGGGGTTAAATATATTAGGATTAACATAGCACTTTACTTTAGTTGAATACTGATTTATTATTAACACTTTGTCACATAAAGAAATTAAATCAAATCTTTGATCCAAACAATATTTAATTTTTCCTTTCTTAAATCTTACTGCTGACAAGAATATCCATATTTTCAAAATAAATAAAACTATATCAATATCAATGAAGAATCACTATCAGCAATAGATTGCCCTGTCCTACATAATTACTAACTAAAGCTATCTAAATAGAAAAGAATGTTCATGATTGTATTAAACAAAAAAATCAAATTCAAATCTCATTCATTCTAAAACAGAACCGCCAAGTGTTAAACCCAACTACACTATACAGACAAAAGGGCCTTGTCCCTAAGTTGCCCAGGACAACAGTTCGTCCTCACGCTAACAAAGTAACAAAGGCTGTTGATATCAGGGCTAGAGGACCTATTACCACAGAGGTTGAATATAACTCATAATACCCTCTCACGATCTACTGAGTGAAGAAAAGTCCACACCATGTTACATTAATGAAAGTAGGCACTTTGATATCAACACTGAACACATACAGAAAAACATCAAATATATTTTGGTAAATAAAACAATTAAAAAAAGGAAATATACACAGATTATGCAAGAGTTAGCAGGACTTCTAAATCTACATTTTAGTCTAGATCTATGTATGAAGACCATGTTATAGTTATGACTAAGACAGTTAAAAATTGGTGACAGCGGAACATGTTTATGAATGTCAAAATATGACTTTTTCTTCTTGAGCTCATTTTTGGGGTAGCATAGATCATTCTGGAAAATCATGTATATTCAACTTTTAGAACTAAGATGCAAAATTTGCAAACTATGTTTAATCAGACAATCAAGCATTTCAAATTAATCACAATAAAGAAATCATACAACTAGCTAAACTTTAAGCAGTGGGCAAATCAAAAGCTTATATTCTTGGCGTATTCAGCAAATTCTGACAAACAGCCACAAAAATTCAGGAGAGTCCATCAGCCAGTCGGCATGTAACCCACCAAAAAATTAGCAAAAATAAGATCACACATTTAATCACCAGGTGATGTTAGGAGCAAAAAATGGATGAATGATCCAATCGAAAAAAAAAGTTGCCCTTTAGAAACTATACACACACTGTACATCCCATTCAGAAGTCCATGAAGAGGCTATAAGTGGGGGAAGTTAAGTGTGACGGTGAGCTCGCATAGACCCACCTGAAACGGAGAAAAAGTTACTTAGAGGAGAGATTAGTCGCTGGGATCCAAAACCATAATATCAGAGAGACAGATATGTCACCAACCCTTGCGTCTGTCTTGGGGGGTGAGGAGGGATATGGAGGGGGTGGGGCCAGCATGCACATTCTTGACAATTCTACCAGCAGTTGGGTGGGAGAAGCAGACATGGTTGAGACTTGCGCTGCAGAGGGCTTGAGTGCGAATCGGACTAACCACAACATGCTGCAGTGCTAGGACATGCAAATCTATTACACCAACATTTACAGTCTAACCTCTAGTAAGGCATGTATATTCACATCGTGGCTACTGATCGTTGTCACAAAAGTAGGAGGATTGTGGAAAGATTCTTATTAGTTTACCATCAGATTAATATGGGTCTTACAGTAACTTGTACAATTGTCTTCCTTTGGTCCAAATACTGACAGTTGTACCCCTTATGGTAACTTATGAACAAAAGGTACATCTTGGCAACAATTTCCATCTTTTCTTCCATCAATGATATAGAATTTTTAAAGTATAAAAACAAGGAAAACATAAATGTCTTCAACCTGCAACTCCCCAAGACAATAGGCAACCTCCAAATCCCAGATTTCCATTCATCCTTAATCTGTGCTATTGTCTACTTTTTTTCAAATTCTATAGAACCAAATAGAATGGTAAAACAGGGCAAAATGACTTCAAATTCAGCAGATTTCATTAAATGAAACTTGGTGTGGAGTCTTCTTCACAGAAGAATCTGCAATCAACAATTTTCAGGTAATTAATTGAATAATTACACTTGAACATATCACTGAATGCAATGATAATACAACAATCACTTGGGATTAGAGAAATACTTTAACAATGGAAGCCCAGCAGATATCAACGTAGCGAAAAGTGGACAGATAACTGCAGCCTGTAAAGACTAAATGACATCCCTCATAACAACATTGCACAATAATTCTCAAGTTGACTAAACCTATTTGAAATCATAACCTACTTGAGGACGTGGACAGGAAAATTAATAGTTTGGGGTTTGTTTTCTTCAAAATTTGAGGCATTTTAATATACAGTTTCTTCAAACTGCTGTTTTAATCTTTCCATAATCCTAAAACAATTAAGACCACAATGACTACGCTACAAGCAAAGCTGTCACAGCAAGGGTGTTTTCCTTCTTCGACCAGTAGTTGGAAATTTCAGATATTTTTGTGACTGTATGTTCAGAATTACGTGACTTCTATGTGAAAGGCAATATTTTCAATCTATACCTGACACAATACCATGGCAACTGAACCATAACATCCCACCATGCATCATGCATACATTACCACAACACTGTTGCACACATTGCCATACATGTGATAGATCCAAAATGTGTGATTACATGTTCGGACAAGAGACATGTTGTTAGAGCAGGTACCAGAATTGGAAAAGTTGCTGAGGAATGACATGGTTTCACAGATTGCCTGTAGAGATTGGAGATCGGAATGACAAATCTAAACCTGGTTTGGGCTCACTTTGAAATGTGTGTGTCTGAAATACATCTGGTTGTACCCACGTGGGATTGAAACCTGGGTCTTCAGCATGGCAAGCAAATGCTCTAACCACTCGGCTATCCCACTCCCCTTCTCCACTTGGTGAGAGTCATCATCAGTGACAGGGAAGAAACACCACACATGGGAAACACACATAGGAAGGTTACTGATATATTAGGTCCTCCATATAGGGGGTTAGGGGCTTGTTAGACACATAACGAGGGAGACACGAGGTACAGTGCTAGGCAGCTCTCAAACATGGTAGGAAGGTTTCAAATTAGGTTGGGAAACTTAAACATAAGGGGCCTTCTATTGTGTTAAAAAGGACTTATCAAACATGGTATGGAAAAAGAAAACAAGGTGAAGGGAACTCTGGGTCTGGACCAGATAATCAGGTGAGTGACACCACAAGCATCGATCTACGCAATTGGGATACAATGACATGCATCAACCAAGTCAGGGAGCATGACTACGAGATCCCGTTAGTCTCTTACGACAAGCATAATTGCCTGTTACAGCAAGCATGGGGTGCTGAAGACTTTTTGTGAGGCCATTTCAATCAGAGTATGGTCATTCCATCATGGAAAAGATATTTCTGCTTGGTAAGGACTTTTGAAATATGGTAGAGAAAGTAGATACATGGCACAAAGGAGATTTCAAGTTTGGTAAGGACTGGGGAAGGGGAATCAAACTGTAACATTCAAAACATCGGGGGAGAAACTTCCGAAGCATGGTCATGAGATGGCTTAGAGCTGGTCCCAAACAAATCATACTAGAACAGTTCAGGCAAGTTACTTCACAACTAGAATGTCAGACGGGAGGGGTCAACAGTTACACAGGGTCACCCCAAGACATCATGGGTGGCAACTACAGTTATATGCATCTTCAAATATTCTTGGATCATGAGGTAGGTAAACATATAAAGTCAAGGGCCGTGTTCTACAAAGCTATCTTAGCGCCAACACGATCATAACTCCAACACTTTAACACTGAATTACGACAATTGTAGAGCTAAGGTCGCTTTGAGGAACAGGCACCTGGTTAGGGTTATGATGCATTAGAATGAATACAGTGAGATGCTAGCATACACCAGGACAAATCTGGATACCAGTCTCCATCATTGAATGAATTCTAACATTGACGTAACTCAACATTTCTAAACATCTATTGGTGTTTCAGATGCTAAAATCGTGAGGTGAAGAATCTGTAACAGTCCTAAGTGCAAGAATGAACTACCTATCTATAACATCATAAGCAACACACTTAGGTCGTTATTTCACATTTTCGATCCATCACATGTATGTGCAAATATTCTTTTAACACAAATATCAACACAACACAATACATTTCATATGATCATATTTCACCACTATTTTCTCAATTGAATTCGGCATTTACACAATTGTAACCTTAATACATTGTTGTCTATATTGTCCACATGTGTTACTAAAATCTACAACATGAATACCCCAAGAATGGTGAAATGTGCTATCATATTGTAACAGTCTCTAAATGCTACCAGAATGCATGTATACTGCCAAGTGCAAGGGACTGACTTACATATAAGCAAGATAGACAACATCTATTTTCCAGATGCCAAGCTGGCAAAATATCCATCTAAAATAATACAGGGGTCAACAAAACAAAATTTGAAAAATACTAAAAATACTAAAAATAACAAAAAAATCTACAAATTATCAGCTTGTAATCAAAATTGACATGCATTATGACCTACAGTGGTTACAAAAGATGTAGAAATGATTTCAACATTTTGAGATATGGTAACCATGGTAACGCGAAAGGTGGTTTGTGTAAGCGGATTGCACACTCACACTTGCTACCATTGGAACGAGTCTGAGGTTTTGGAGATTGTGTGTTGCAGTCTTCGTCGATCATGCCGTTGTGGAAGTGTGTGTAGTGGTAAGCCAGACCAGGCCGTGTCTTGTAGCGGGCACCGCATGCTGTAGAGGGTAGAGAATATATTCAATTACAGACTCAGGGCAAGCATACATACTCTTGCCCAAGTGAGCAAAGTTTCACTTGAACAGTATTTCTGTTTACGCACAGCATGTTAGCTTAATGCGGAAAGAATCCCCAAAGAAGATATTTGCCACTTTGCTAATACAAAATCTTCAGCACATTCATGGTGCTGACAAACCAAGAATCATAATCAGTGGGAATGTTGGATCTGAACCAATAATGAACATTGGGTTTGGGTGAGCTTTAGTAAAAAGTATTCAGTATACATATACAGACACACACACTAGTGGTTTAGCTTCACCTATTAATTAACTTGTTACCCAGGTACGTTCTGGAAGTGTACTCACCTTCACAAACATAAGGTTTATCTTTTTCTTCTGGCATCAAATCTTTGTCTACATTCTTCCTCCTTCCTCGTCCTGGACCCTGCATCAGGAAACATGAAATACTTAGCCCACAATTAGCCTGAACATAACCCACACTTAGCAGTAGAAACAAGCTCCTAACTACAGGATAGCTCCATAAAAGCTAATACTTTTCAGGCTAGAAATTGCCCTCATTTAAATATTCTGTGTTTGTCTTAAGGTGAAAGGTATTGTGAGAGCTCTTAGAATTTCATATTTTTTTCAGCGGTGTCTTTACATGTTATCACTATTCAGTCTAGTCAACATTTCAGATTTGCACAAAAAGAAACCTTCAACAGTAGTCGAAAATGTTCATGCTACAAGACATGAGGCAGAAAATGTGAGTCGTTGACAAAGGATAAAATAACACATGGACATAATCTCCTTGTATGATCATATTATTTTTATAAACACTTACCTTTTTCTTCTTCTTCTTGATCGTATCTTCATAATCACTGATATCCGACTGATCATCAACCATCTCCCCAGCATCTGGAGGATCACTGAGCATGTCAAAGTCTTCAAACCACCGGTCCTGGGACTCGGCCTTCTGTTCCAAGACATCCTCATCCTCTTTGCCCCTGTGGGCAGGGTTCTCCACCGCACTTATTTGATGCATGTCTGAAATATGTAGAAACATCATCAAATGTGTCTTGGATACTGACCTTTATCGGCATCAAGTCACTATTCTCGTCATGTAACTAAAGCTAGTCGATGAGTGAGTGAGTTGGGTTAATCTCCGCTTTGAACAGTATTCCAGTTATATCACGGCATGTTGGCTTCATGTGGGAGGAAAGCCTGAAGTGATGCAGGTCTTAGATTATTATCACTTTGGTGAAACCCATGAGCATGGTATGGTGCTGACAAACCTAGAAACATAATCGGGGCGAACTTGGATTCGAAACTGCGACAATCGGTTTCTGACATGCCCAAGGGATGCAACTCTGCACGCTTGACGACTGGACAACCAGTGCCCCGAGCTAGTTGATGAAGTGAAAGCAGGTCTAAGGAAGTGACTACAAGTTGAAATAATAACCTGCATGAGTCAGAGACTCCAATAGTAAGACAAGAAGCCAACTTGTAGCTTTGTCTGCATGCATTACCAAGTACAAATTCAGTCTGTGCCAAAAACTTTGAGCCTACTAGACCAAACTTGTCTAGTAGTCATTTTCATCAAAGTCAATTTAGTGTTATCAACATGATCATGGTTATGATGTGGACTATCATGAGCTGAGCTTGCTGGACTGAACAGATTTTTACTAAAACTCAGGCTTCAGAGTAGTGTCATAGACTACATTTTTCCTCAACTCAGCCTTCAGTCTAGTGTCATAGACTACACATTTCCAAACCTTCGAATTGTCTATATCCTATAAGGCAATAAATTATTGGTCCTCATATAACGGTAATGAAATATTGTTGCCAATAAGACCCTTATATGTTAATTGGTCAAAGCATTCCTAGACATGTTAGAGATTAGGATATTGTACCCCTTCTCTTAAACCCTGTTGCCACATACTTCTGCTTGTCTTATCTCATTTAACATGTTTAACAAATGATGCACACCTTTTTTGTCCTAAGTTGAATGCAGTGGGATAATGTGTCTTTCATCTGTGTTTTACACTGATATGTTTGTGCATTGCCTGAAAGCTGAACTAAGGTATTCATACTGTCAGAATAAAAGTCTGAACATTGACTACAGTACACTACGGTTATAATGAACTCAAAGGGACGGGTGATTTTAGTTTGTTATAACCGAAGTTCGTTACAAGCATATATACAGCAAATTGACAGGACCAAAAAAAAAGTTTGTTATATCTGCCAGTTCGCTACAAGCATGTTCCTAAAAACATAGTTTATTGTAACTAATAGATTTGTCATATTTATATAACGCAGCCTTATCAATTTTATGCATTTGAAAGTAACATGATTGTGTTTTGAGACCTTGATTATTTTTTAAATATTTTTACCTAAGCATCCCCAAAATTCTTAATTATTAAAATTTTGGGTTATGACAAGGACTCCTTGACTTTCAGCCTTAAGTTTCTAACACTAAATATATATGTACAAGTGACAAGTCCAAGTAGAATCCACATCAAAATGGTCAATAACAACTTCAATTCACTTTAAAATGGGTAACAGTGAACAGAGATGGAATAACACTGTCCATTTGGAGGCATTTGATCTAGAGTACAGTTTTATATCGCATTTAGCACTATTCCAGCAACATCACGGTGGACATCTGAAATGGGCTTCACACATTGTACCTGTGTGGGGAATCAAACCTGGGTCTTCGGCATGACAAGTGAACGCTTTAACCACTACGCTACCCCATCGCCCTTCATTTATTAACAAGTGAATGGTTGATAAGTGAGTGAGTGAACATGGTGAATAAGTCGGTGAACATGGTGAGTGAGTGAGTGAGTATGGTGAAGTGAGTGAATTGTGCTTAACATTGTAGACAGCATCATCAGCGATATTTCAGCCATAACAGTATTACAACAGTCGGAAATCAAGTGTGGGTTGGGCCATCCAGTGACTATAGACTGCATGATCAATGGGTACCATGACATTATCCCCACTATTAGTCAGCTAGTCACATTAGCTGATTGGGTCATATTCCGCCTCTGAATCAACACAAGGCTCACTTTTCAATGGCAACGAAAACAGGTTAATCACGTAGATTAGGTATGTGCATTACTGTGCCTCTGTTACATAGATCAGCTTTTTAATCATAACTGTACTGTTAGATACTAATCAAGAATATCATCAATACATTATATTCCCTATCGCACATGTAACAAAACAAATTCATGAACATAATGAAGATAAAGCCAACCTTTTTTTATTACTTGGATCGCGGACTTATTTTGGTTGACTGCTGTTGAGAGGATGAAAACATCAAAATAAAACGGGGGAAAACAGTATTTTACAAAAATTGCATTTACACTGTTTACTGAACAAGACAAGATATAATGCAAACAAAAACGATAGTATTCTTTCATACAGAGACTTTTAAGCAGCTTCTTTTTTATTTATACTGTTAACATGAATCACAAACAAATCTCACTGTACAAAATCTGGGTTTTCTTTCCCTTACATTTTTCTTAAAAGAAACAATCACAGAATGGGCAATGTCAAATTGCAAACATAAGAATTGGATAATTGGATAATACTGGGATGGTTGCCCAACACCATGCATTCATGATAACATTACTTTTCTCCTATACAAGTAAGGCATGATAAGGCCAACCAAGAGAATTTGGTTAGTCCAATTTCTTTCAATACGGTCACTCATTTTGTAGAGTTTTATGTAGTGTCAAAATAGCCAGTGGGTGAGTGGACCTCAATTTATTCTTGAATATGCATGAATATTATGGAAGTCCTTACCTGCTTCCCCCATCTCAATGTCCCCTGCACGAGCTAGACGAACCTCAGCAGCAAAGAATGAGCGTTTTTTCTTTTTCCATCGTTTGGCAGGATATGAGTAGATTTGACCATATACGTTCCCTGGATAAAATCACAAGCAGAATGCACACATCCCCGCAGCAAAGAAACAGAATTTTATTTCATAAGTCATGCCATAGTTATAATAGTAACCCCTGTCAATATGTACATTCATCGTGTTTATTGATTACATTTTGAAACCTGACACAGTGCTCCATTCATCATTGTTATCGTCATATGTGTCCCCTTCGCTTTGGATGTTGCAACAAACTTAAATGCCTGGCACTTACTGGGTCATGACTCAAAACTAAATGGTGAGAGTGAATGATGCTTTTTGCTGTATTCAGCACTATTCCAGCAATATTATTACGAACAGTAAATAACGGTCTAAATCGAACCTGGGCCAGCCAGTTGAAGGCAAGAGCAATAATCATGTGTCGACCACCCTATTCTCATTTGTCAGTTGTTGGGTTTAGATAAGCAAAGGGTACAGGAATCTATACTATTACTATGCATACTGCTCCTGAATGTGTTTCAACATGCAAGAGCTTAATGACTACCTGGTTGTCTGTTCATATAAGGGTGCCACAGGTTGCTGTGGTTCTGTGCCATGCCTGTCTGTGAATCAAGGAATGGTAATCTCATTTTGCGCTCCATGGCCATACGTGTGTTGAAACTTGCTGTTTGTTCCAGAGCTTCCTTGTACAACTGTGTACTTCCCATACTGAAATGAATAATCCATCAACAGCTTGAAGCAACCTGTTTCTTTGATATGTTGATAGTCCAAAAAGAGTTTAACTTAATATGATGCATATGAACATGGTGGAAACATCGTCATATGTGTTTCTATCTTCAACAATATGAAAAAAATGTTCACAACTTGTCAAGTATTTGTTTCTTTTTCTAATTTAATAAACAAAATGGAGAAACAAAATACGTTTCAAACAAAATGTTGATCAATATTTAAGAATAAAATTATCAAGATGATTAAAACTAGTTCCCTAACAATGTAACATCATCATGATCATGCTGCAGTGTACTCGGACTATTCATCACGCTATCACTATCAGGCACAATGTATTTTAATTATGTCAATTCCAAAAGAAAAGTTAATATAAAAGAATAATTCTACAGATAAATCGCTAAAATTCTTTTGTGGTAAAATGTCCCGTACATGCGACACAATAGGCGGAGGCTATTTTTCACTATTTGGAGCCTCAGCAAGTCTACATAAATTGTGGCTGGCGTCACCCAATCTTCATAATTTAGCAAAATGCGTCTACATCCAGTGTTTTCGGTGATATCATTGCTACAGTGGCATTAATAACTAAATTCTTCATATATAATTGGTAAAAAACGACATCTAGATATACTGCAACGTTAAACATCACAGAAAACTGATTTTGGAATAAACAAACACTCTAGAGCAAACATTTGCGAGCAGCCATGGCAGACACGACAGGAGACGGTCACCTAAAAGGACATTTGATGGACAAATACAACGAGAAATCGCTGTATTTTCACACACGACTTTTCTGTATGATATTATTAACCGTACACGCGATTCCAAAACATAATTGCAGATTACAGAAAAGAATAAAATAGAAATATGTACCTTTTTTTGTACACCGACACATCTACTGCCGCCATTTTGGACTCTTTGTGTTAGCTGTGCTCACGAAGTAAGAGTTATCCGCCCTTTGTTAGACATACATTAAATTTTCTGAAGACAATAAAGTAACATACATGTATTTCTAAGCATCATGTATGTTATATATTAGCTCTTCACAGCGTGTCTACTTGTTTTCAAATGCATAAAGTTGAAAGGGTTGTTATAAAAGACGTTGTCTTCCAAAGACAGCTTGTCGTTCTCATACATACATGTCTCTATCACATAGCGCACAGCAAATAAAACAATCACCCCATTCCATCCTTATGCACTAACTTACCAGCCCTAGTAACCTATACGCTTGTCCTTTTGACCTCTAGGAAATTAAGAGACTTGAGGGTTCGTCGAAGGTTCCGGATATTAATTAACTAAGCTTATACATAAATTAACTTTATTTCGAAACTATATGGTAGTATATGCCCATGTTAAATTTAACTAGAGTACAAACAGATTAAATATAAGCATATATGGCTAAAACATGCACAGTCCCGGAATATTTCTAGGCATTAATTCGCTGCGCAGAAATGCGTTCCTTAGTCTTTCCAGGATCTGATGTTCGTGAGTTTGAATCCCATATTCGTCCTTTAGGGCTGCGACGGGTAACTCGGGTCCGGTGGCTACTGAGTAGGACCCGGGTTAATCACGTGATATATGGTTTAAGACAAAAATTATCTAGAACTCTATGGTAACACTATAAATGACTAATGTTTGCATTCCTTCTGACTTTATATGTTTGATTAGTAAAACTTCAGACAACTCCAGTTTATGCATGACCAGATCGTATTTATTCGTGTAACTAAATACATTTCGCCAGGGCTACGGTCAAACTATTCCGAGACGGACATTTGGGCATATCTCTTGAGACCTACCGTGGGTACCTGAGTAGGGTCGGGTAATAGGGGTGTGGGTTCCCGGGTAGTAAATTTCGACTCGTCCAAGCCCTATCGTCCATGCCCGTGCTCGTACGTGTCACCAAAGCTGCAAATGTCTGACCTGCTCTACCACTAGACCGCGGAGGCGATCTATATATCATTGACTTGCAACAGGGCCAGTAAAGGCGCGTTTGCTTAGTTTTATGTTAATGGATTGAATACAATGTCAAAATACAGAATTAATAAAAATAACAATTTGCCTGCACGCACTCACACACTCACATCCGATTATGTTATTATGTATATTAATATATTTACATTTATATTTTAAAAGTACTATGCACAAACACATTTTATGGTCGCATTGCTCAGATCCCCTTGGCTTAAACCTGGCTTTGCCGTGACTGCATGCTCTGAAGCGTGTACCTTGATTAACATAGCTGTGCAGCATCGCTAATATCCGTAATTCTTGGACATGAACCTGTGCTGGTCGTAAGAGTCGATTAAAACGGATCGTGGGGTCCTGCTCGGTGCCTTGATTGATAGCGCACAAATGCATGCTACAAATAATACAGTTTGAGATGAGCCCCACCACCCCACATCTACCCCCATCCAACAATCTCTCAATCCCACACCCACCCTCATTCAACAACCACTCGATCCTACCTTCCACCAAGCGCAGTATCCCCCCTGCACCCCCCCCCCCCCCCCCCACCACCTCTACCCGCACCCAACAACCTCCAGCCCACCCCCACCTCTACCAAGGAACCACTGCCCTCACCCCCTCCACCCAACCCCATCCCACCTCTACCCGCACCCAACAACCTCCACCCCATCCCCACCTCTACCAAGCAACCACTGGACCCCCCTCCACCCCACCCAACCTCTACCCACACCCAACAACCTCCACCCAACCCCACCTCTACCAAGCAACCACTGGACCCCCCTCCACCCCACCCCACCTCTACCCACACCCAACAACCTCCACCCCACCCCACCTCTACCAAGCAACCACTGGACCCCCCTCCACCCCACCCCACCTCTACCAAGCAACATCTTGAGTATTTGTCTCAATTTGACCTGGCACCAAGGGTAAGGGGACACACCTCCGCCTAAAAGAACTGTAATCGGGACCTATGTCCCCTTACTCTCTCCACCAGAAGTTTTAATTAACGATTTTTTTGCAAACAGATATCACATGACAGGAGATTGAAAACAACATGACAGCAAAGGTTTCTGAGCCTTGACCATACTTCAGATATTTTCAAGATTACATTTTTGTTAGTTTTCCTTACACATTTGGGTACTTTCGGTTTCGTATGAACACTATGTTTGACATAGGAAACCAATAAACACAAATACATATTGGACCGGAGAGAGAAACTGAGCTTATGCGGAAGACATTCATGATGGCATATATGAACACAATACGCCTCTTGCAGGCCTAAATATCTTTAATATTGTTGGAATACATACTCACTCAAAATATTTCATTTTCTTTTTCGGTATTTAGTGGATCGACTACTGAGTGAGTGAGTGAGGATGGTTTTACGCCGCTTTTAGCAATATTCCAGCAATATCACGGCGGGGGACACCAGAAATGGGCTTCACACATTGTACCCATTTCGGGAATCGAACCCGGGTCTTCGGCGTGACGAGCGAACGCTTTAACCACTAGGCTACCCGACCGCCCCGATCGACTACTGAAATATATTATGAGCTGTAGTTGCGTTGCGTCTTAGTTATTATGGCATGCACTTTGCAAGGGCGTATCCAGCGTTTTTTAAAAAGGGAGGGGTCTATATAATCAATATCCTCTTCAGTCAACTTTACTGCCTCATATACTTTTGGTTTTCAAAAGGTGGTGTGTGTGTATGTTGGGGGAGGGGGCACTCCGGGACCGCTTATGTTTTGTATAATATACATATAGCTTCACTGTAGCTACGTAGCTACACCGTAAGATGTCATCGTACCCCGACGGCGCGCCGTGGATCGTTGCTCACAATGTCGATCACTGGATTGTCTGGTCCAGACTAGATTATTTACAGGCCACCGTCATATAACTGGAATATTGCAGAGTACGTCGTTAAAAAAACAACAAACAAACATGTAAGTGTATTGGGTACAACTCCGATTTCAGCATAATCAGTGGCCTTAGGTGATGTACACCTCCGACCTATTTTCTGTGTTATATTATACCGTAAATAAGAAATTATACAAAATAAATAAAAACAACACATTTTACCACAAGGTAACACACATGTTTCACTACGTATAACCATATGTTAACCATTAACCTTTACTCGTTATGCTGTAATCAAAATTAATTCTATAATAGGTTAATGGAATGTCTCCGAGTACGCAAGCTGTGCACATACGTCCTAACGGATACACTACTAGAAAAATGGATAATGAAATAAATTATATTGACATGCTTATCTTGAAACACCACATAGTGTCATATAAACGTCTGCATGGTGCTCTCCTACTGCCACAGGTGTGCCTGTAAACCTATATGTCAATTACCCCCCTCCTCCCATGAATCCCAAATACTATGTATTTTTTCACTCCAAGTCGTATCTGCCCATCCCTGAATCACGAATATTACTTTACACAAATGTCAAAAGCACTTTTCAGATTTTCACTTTACAGACAGAATGTAATTTTATACCGTGTCTGAAAAAAAGTAAAGATCCGCCAGTGTCCGATGGGCACCTGTTACACTTATTGTGATTGCAATTTGACCATTTATTTTAAAACATGCGGTTAGATATCATAAAACAAATAATAACACAAGAATCACCCGCTGTGTTAATTAAACCAGATTCATTGCTGTATTGAAACTCAAAAGTATTTAAAGCCAATACTAGCCCTCAGCAAGGCTAGGTTGGAAGAAACAACCAATCAAATTGCGACATTGTCGCTACCGGAAGTCATATGATTTTTAGTCACATGATCGTGAGTTGACTAGTGTCCTGAACTACGCTTGATATATCACTCTCTTCTCCCGATTGTACTTGAGTCGGCGGCCTTTTGTGGCACTTGAGGTATCAAAATGAACATTTTCTTCGCCATAACGGTGTTGGCATTTGTCAGCCAAGGTGAGTAACAAGTTACAGGAATTTTGACCAGTTTCCATATTCAGGAAATTCATCTTCGCCTAGCCAAATATCACTAAGAAAATAGAACTTTGTATGGAGTGAGTTGTGGAATATTATTGAACGAATGCCTTTGTAGAATAATAATCGTAGACAGCGTGACAGACAGAATTGATCTAGGTTGCTTGAAGCTCCCAAAATGTCCAAGGTCTTAAATTCAGACGATGACAAGACCAAGATGACATTGACAACGTGATCACGTTCACACGGGTTTGGTATTTTGGGGAAGTTGGTGAACCATAACAAGTAGTTCAGGTGATCACGCGACACTTTGGATTCACATTTCAATGAGGATGGCGTAATGTATATCCTGAAGACAATGATTGGGGGATAGAAATAATGGTTAGTTTCACTGCCCACAAAAATGATCTGCTACAGAGCTGCCATCTACCGAAAGTAAAAGTGATAGTCGAACGGAAATGTCACTTGTCCTTCCTGAAAATCATTAAATGTACTAGTCTAATACTGGCAGACTAATGTTATTTCAAACACTGATGATTCTCAGATTATGGATAATATGGCTGAAGGGGTAGTTGTGGCATAGGGTTCAGGAAACGACTACCCCAGGTACCTTTCTGTATATTAAGTTTCCCAGTTCCTGTTGCATGAAACGTTTAGCACTTCAACATTGGTAAGTCTGTGTTAAATTATGGGAGTTACAATTGTCTTGGTGCTAAGTTCACTTTGTGGCTAAAGGTCACGATACAGAAATATTTCCTCATTGATCATAATGACTAGTCTGTCATACAGACCCTGCAAGTCTATAATATTTGGCAAGTCTAGATTACTGCAGTATCAGGAAATGAGAAAGTCTCTGGGTTCCTTTTATTATACTTTATAACTATAATTTAACAACTTTTTTTTCTTCTGTATAGTAGTTAATTTCAGAGACTAGATGTTAGTCTACATATTGACCACTGGAGCAGCTGGTCAAGTCCATTTGACTGTTTCACTTGTTCAGTAACCTAAAGTCTAGCTTGCTATGGCAATTGACTGATTGATCATGTTGATGTTAGAAAATAGTGACTGTGGTGATGATATACTAGTATAATGGGTTATATTGAAATGTAAAGTTCAAGCAGTACAAGCGTGAAAGTGCCAATTCAAGAATATGCAGCAATGGTTGATTATACCGGAGTACATTCTAAATTTCCCAGAGGAACAAGTTTTTCGTTCACTGTTGACTGGACTTGTCGAGCTTGGGATCATATCTGTACTCTGATTTTGGCCAAGGTTCTCTTCTGTGTACAGAAAGGTACCATTTCTGTAGTACCCCGTGCATTAACGACCTGATGTCCATTAATATGGACGATGGTGTTCCCAGTGAGTTTGAGATGTATACATATACGTCAAGATGGCCACATAAGTAAAAATTAACATGAAAAAGTTAAAACGATTATTAAAAAGGTCAAAACAGGCATGAATTTGATTTATTTATATATTGAATACATATTGCATTTGAATAAACAAAGAGAAGAAAAGATGATATCTTGGGTTGTTGTCTGTCTATACAGAGATCACTTAACACCTTGTTAATACTAATCTTATTAGCACTGTGAAGATCCGGGTTAGAATAGATCTTCAGCAACCCATGCTTGCTGTAAAAGGTGACTAAGCTTGTCGTAAAGGGTGACCAACGGGACCGGGTGGTCAGGCTTGCTGACTTGGTTGATTCATGTCAATTGTCTGGTCCAGACTCAATTATTTACAGAGTGCCATCATTGAGCTGGAATATTGTTGAGTGCGGCGTTAAACAACAAACAAACAAACTAATCTTATTCATGTCTTTTTAAACCCCACTTGACACATGTTGTTTTATGGAATGTTTTCATTCACATGACTTAATCCTTGTTTGTCTTAGAATCGGCTAGATCAATATCATTTTAGTCAGTGACTGTCAGTAATATCTGCTGGTGATAAGATTTTCCACACATTCACTGAGCCGAGGTTGAAACACCTATCATTGTTCAGGTTAGACAGGGGGCACGGCTGACCCAGCCGTCTAAGGCGCCGCGATTCGCTGTGCAGAGTTGCGTTCCTTGGGCACGCCAGAAACCTATGATTGTGGGTTCGAATCCCGGTTCGCCCCGATTATGTTTCTGGGTTTGTCAGCACCATACCCGTGCTCGTGGGTTTCGCCGAAGTGGTAACCGTCTGAGACCTGCATCACTTCGGGCTTCCCTCCCACATTAAGCTGACACGCCACGATATAACTGTAATATTGTTAAAAGCGGTGTTAAACCCAACTCACTCACTCACTCAGGTTAGACATATTAGAGGTTAGATGAGTAGTTATCTTTTTGGTAATGTGTTTTTTTGTATTTTGACAAGTCTTAGTTAACTTGCCATTTAGTGATGTAGTGGAACTACCATTTCAGTATTGACTGTTGATTACAGAACAAAGTAGAATGAATTCTGTGAACCAGTATCTTAACATGCTTAAAGATGTTCTGTCTACAGAGCTCCAGATAACTTTTTGAGCAACTGAGTTTCACTCTAGAGATTCTATTTTAATTGGGTCATTACATTTTTCATTGGGTAACTCATCTAATTCATCACTCTATTGTTTTTTTTCCCAAAATTAGTGAACATTTTAAGATTTAAAAAAAATGAAATTATGTTTTAGATGTATATAACTGTTCTGAATATATAGGCTTGACTCGGAAAGTAAATTAGCTCATTATTGTGTTTCGCAAATTAGCTCCTTTGAACGCATGCTGAAAAAGCTTCATTGGGTATTTACACTTGCTTTTTTTATACATTTTAGGTTTTCATTTAATGCATGCGTTTCTGGACGCGAGTTAATTGAAAGTAGTTGGGTTTTTAATATTTTTAACGGTATTTTACGCAAATACGCTGCTTTTCTGTAGCTCTGTGTCTGTGTTATAAATATATAGTTGATTTTGACTTGCACTGGTTAACACATGGAATTGTCAGCTATCAAAATTTTTATAAATTGTGAAAACTATTTAATGTTCATTACAAAACACATTTTAAATGCGCTTGCTCGTTTCCGTTAATGTTATCCTGGTCTGGAAATTGAGCATGGGCATCAATTCAGTGTACCTTGAAATTAAAATATATTTAAGTCAGAGAAATGAAATTTTGGACACTGGTGTTACTGGTCATGATCTCAAATGAGTTCAAGTTATGGCCCTTGCTCCATGATTTTCAACTTAGTGCAAAAACTACTTAAGCTACATGAATGAAAGTTTGCATGCTTATCTATAAAGAGATACTTATCAATACTTTGTTCGAGTTACAGAGTTATGGCCCTTGTCCCGTGTTTTTCAGGTTTTAATGTTGGTGTCAAGAGTTTTGTGCAAAGCAAACAAAAGAAGAAGATGACGTATATGACAGTTATATCAAACATAACTTTGTCAAATATCATGTGTCAAATACCAAATGTAATCTTGTGATCTGTCATTCATGATTCTCAAGATTGTCAAACGGAGCAAGTTGCAGCAATATCTCAGATGGCCTGTTTGTTCCTTGTCAAGTTGTTTGGCCCCTGTTTGAAAGTATGCCCCTCCTTGGAAATTGACCCTATATTTGTTGGCAACTAGGTTTTCAGTCACTCTGTATATGTCAGGGATAAACTGGACCCAGGGTTTTTCCTTGACGTACAAAACTGGGGGTCCTCGTGACCCCCAATAATTACTTTTAAGGGTCCTTGCAGGCAATATGAGGGTCCTTAAAAGTAATGATATGGTGTAGTGAACTGTACATCTTGATAATTACTTGAATGAATCAGTGATCATGTGGACAGTGGTCATTATTGATGGATGAAATAACACCAATCACTGCTCTTGATGCACTGTAGGTACAATGAATATTATTGTGCGTACTTCGGGACACAGTATATTTTCTTTTCTGCGTCCATTTGTTTGTCATGTAATACCCTGATGACCACAGGTCAGTTAGTCCGAAATAAGCAGTGGACTAGTTAGATATAACCAAGGGTGTCTTCCCCTGTGAGTAGCATGATGACTACCGTATTTGACGTAATAAGTGCCCAGGGTGCTCTCAAAATTAGAAATAAGGGACTCTTATTAGAAAATATTTTTGGTGAAAAAAAAAAAACAGAGTTGAAAGATTGTAAATTTTGTGGTTTATGCTGACAGCCTGAAATGATACAAAAGAAAATTCTGTGTGTATTATACACGACAGATATATTTTACAGAATTTAATTGCCCATAATTAAGGGTGTATATAACACATGAGTGCGTATTATCTACAAATAAAAAAGTCTTGTGTACATTGATCAATCGGAAGGGGTGCTAATTGGGATTGTTCACTAGCCAATATATTAGCAAATATCGCTGTGGGCGCTTATTAGTGCAGGACGCTTATTATGTTGAATACGGTAATGTTAGTTTGCAAGGCAGACTTAGATTTCTCTGAAAAGATAAATAATGACAAGGAAAACAGCAACACACTTTCACAGTTTGCCTATTGTCATTGTTGAAACAATGGAGTTATTAGTAATAATATGACTCATATGTTAGCATAGAGACATAATGTCAACCTGAGATCATACTGTTCGTCGGATGCATGACCAGACGGAAACAATAGACTTATAATAGTGTGTAATCCCCAAGTGCTCATCTGCTTTACTTGGATGAATGTGCTAATGTTTCCAGAAAAGCAACAAATGATTGACACTTTCAGTTTAAGTGCTTATGTTGGTATCATGTTTGAAATAAACCATGACATAACCCTGATGTCAAAAGTTGAGGGGTTACTGGATTCAAATACCGTAGGAGAAGATCTCAAAGAAAGCTCTGCTTGACATTTAATGGTTCAAAGATAAATATTGTTCTCTGTGTAATAGTATAGTTGCAATCTGGCTAGACTGGTTGCCAATGCTATTAATGTCCATGTGAGAACTGTCTACAGATTACAGCAACGATACCAGGTCAGCTTGCAGTCATCATAAAACC